AACTGTTTGGCCGTCTCTTCGGTACCCGTACTCACTTCACAAAGCACGTTAGGTGCAAGGGATAGTTGGATTGCACTCAATGCATCTCCTTCAATCTTCTCCTTGTCGGGAGCTGATATATCCGTAGGATACTTTCCGTCAATAGCATGGATTGAACCTTCCCTCCGCAGTAACGCCATCATCTGGATCTTCCAGATATTGAAGTTGTTGCGTCCATTGAATCTATCAATTTCAAACTTCATGGAACTCATATTTGCTTGTTCTTTCTCCTTGGATCGTTAAAGAATCCTGTCGCTCTGATACCAATTGTTAGCGGAAACGTAAAAGAAAGAACACAAGATTTAACGTGGTTCGGATCAAAATAATCCTACGTCCACCAGAGAACAATTGCCCTTTTAATATTAACAAAGGAAGGGGAGATTTCCCAATTACACTTAAGAGAATTTCTCTCTTAACTCTCTACTCACTACAATGTATTGTATTATTTTGGGATGATTTCTACAAGTGAAGGAGTGCATCTATTTATAGAGGTAAAGACCTCCTCTTGATGTCATTGGTGACATCAAACTACCTCCTCTTGATGTCATGAGTAACATCAAAGGAGGAAGCTTCCTCCTAGCATCCACACCAACTCTTTCCACCAACTCTTCCAATTGGCATGCCATTGTTGACTAAACATAAACCAACATTTTCAGCATGCCATAGTTAACTAAACATAAACCAACATTTTCATCCTTTTTATGGTTTAAGCCTCATATTTCTAATTTTTTGCATAAGTTGAACGAACCCTCTATTTTTTTGTTTTGTTTAGGAAATACAACAAATTTCTTCCTATATTTTTTGTCGACAAGTGCATCATCTGCTTGGAATAAGGGGGAAGTGCGAGCATAAACAGCTGCGTAAAGTGGAAGCTAGTAGGTCCAACATAAACGTGAACTTCTCCCTTTCGCTGCCCCAATGGCGGATTCGACATCACAAAGCAGATCAAGGGACCTCGACAAGCTCCTTCTCCGCCCCGGAAATCTCGTTGGGCCGACCTTCGAGGCCGGTACGGAGGTAAAATCCCCCCATCCAAAACCCTACTCCTTTTTATTTTTTTAAGACGATCATGTTGCAGCTAATCTACGAATATAATTCTGATTGCTTGTATTCTTTTAACAGTTGAGAGATGATTTAAAGGAGTATGTAAGAGTGTTAGTGATAGGTGCTGGTGGATTAGGTTGCGAATTGCTTAAGGATTTGGCTTTCTCAGGATTTCGTAACCTCGAGGTCATTGATATGGACCGAATTGAAGTTACCAATCTTAATCGCCAGTTTCTCTTCAGGTGCCGTAATATTTTTCGTTTTTAAACTATGCAATTCGACATTTTTGTTGAATTTGAAATGTGTGTATTATTGAAGTGGTTTGTATTGACTGATTTTTGGTCTCATGTTTTTTCCTGATAGCAATTTCCTTTTCCTATGCAAGTATAGCTAAAAAAAGTACATTGTGAAAGCAAAAGAAACAAAGGCGATACAAACTAGTTGGAATTATAAGTATGAGATTTTTGAAACAATCTAGTTTTAGATAATCTGTAGTTTACTTTAAAGAACACATTATGTAGTAGCCCAAGGGCTTAGTTCAAGTGGCAAAGGTTGAGGGACTTGTGACTTAGATCACAAGTTTTTATTTTTATTTTCTAATAACCGTGGTGTCCGAGCTTGTGCGCAACTTGATTAAATCCACGGGATACTTGCTACCTTCCACTAGCAACAGATATCAGATAACTCTATCCACCGAGGCTTGGACAGATTAGAAGAAATCACCTAGTGTTTTTGTATCTGCTGGGATTTGAACTTGAGACCTCAAATTCTCAACCCATTTCATTGATTACTAGGCCGCACCCTTGGGTGCATTAGTTCAGGTGGCGGAGGTTGAAGGACTTGTGACTTAGAGTGACTTAGATCACAAGTTCTAGCCCTGCACCATGAGATTACATCTATGAAGTAGATATCCTACCTGACGAACATAAAGTATCCTCCACTGAACTACCCCTCAAAGTAAGTTTGGAATTTAATATAAAAGAGTAGAGGGGCAAGCCCATTATCCCCAAGTTTTGAAAGCTGCGGTTGGTCCTCAGAGTTGACCCAGACGAATTTCTAAGTCTTTATAGAATAGAGGAATACATTGTAAAGTAGTGTAATAAAGTTACCAATCTCAATTGCTAACTTTTATTCAGGTGCGGAGTATATTTTGAGTTGCATCATTTTCTGAATTTACGCAATTCAAACTTATGGTTAAATTCTTGTTGTGTACATTGTTTGAAATTGTAATTTTTAGTCACTTCTTCAAAAAGGCACTTTAGGGTTACAAAACCCAAGATGAAGTGAATGGTGTGGGATGGTGCACAGAGCATTTTCATTCGTGTAGCTGTTATTTTCGAGGAGGATAATGTCCTTCTCCCTGTTTATGAAAGGAGGGTTTATCCTTCTTCCATTTTGTAGTTTCTAATGTATGGTTATAGCTATGTACAAGTATATGATCCTTGAGTCTACTTTCACTTTGGATTTAGGGTATAGATGTATCCCCTTAGCGTTTTGCTTGCAGGAACAATTTCTTTTAGAAATTTTAGCAACAATATGTTTATTAGTATTTCTTCTTATAGTTCTTCCTATGTAGACTTGAAGATGTAGGGAAACCAAAGGCAGAAGTTGCTGCTAAAAAAGTGATGGAGAGAGTCAATGGTGTAGATATCAAGCCACATTTCTGTCGGATTGAGGACAAACCAATAAGCTTCTACAGTGATTTCCAAATTATTGTTCTTGGTCTTGATTCTGTCGAAGCTCGAAGCTATATAAATTCTGTAGCTTGCGGCTTTCTAGGTTTGTCTTTTCTACTTATGCTTTTCAAACAAGTTGCATGGGCTGTTCAAATTATTTTCTGAGTAGTTTACTTGAATGCTTCCGCGTTGTGCCCATTCTTTTTTTAATTACTTAGGAGAACAAAAGTTTCTGATTGAGTAGTAGGGTACTAGTTTTTTTCTGTTTGATTGTCCAACCACTCATCCCCTCTTCCGTCATCTTGTTGCTGATCTTGAAACAATGTCTGGGTGAATGGGAAGGTTGTAAGTGATACTTCTTTGTAAAATGCAAAACCACCTTTTTTCTTTCTTTGATGAATAAAATGGAGAGCCATTCTTTTTACCGTGGAACATCAGATCCTTAGGCTTCTAGCTAGACGTGTTCTAGATGAATCAAGATTGGGCCCAGATCAACAATGAGACAAATATAAATCCATTTCTATTTTCCTGTTACCATTTATGGCACATGCTTCCTTTGTTTAACTACTTGGCTGCTTTATCTTATCTCTATTGTTCCTTGAGCGGAGGGTCTATCGGAAACGGCCTCTCTATCTTTATAAGGTAGGGGTTAGGTCTGCGTATACACTACCCTCCCTAGACCCCATTTATGGGATTACACTGGCTTTGTTGGTGTTGTTGCATGTATGACACATACTTATTGAAACCAGTTTCTATAACTTCTATAAGAGGCCAAAATTGAAGTAAGAAAAGGAGATAAATGCAAAGTAACAGATATTAGATTCTAGTCTGAAGATAGAGTAGTTTGACTTGGATATTTGTCCAAGCATCAAGATGTAAAAATGAAATATATGAGATCCCGCATGCTTGGATTTGCACAAATCTTCCATCATATGTTGCTCATATTTGTATATCTGTATCATCAACTAGACATATAAGAGTGTTCAACTTTGAAGATAACGTGCAAATACTGAAATAAATAACATACTAAACAGTTTTCAATGGAAAAAACCAAGTGTACATACATGAGAGAAAAAAATATGCATCATTTAATGTTCTTCTTTGGCTTACCCCAACTTGTTTGGGACTGAGGTGTAGTTGTATTTAATGTTCTTCTTTCACGGTTGTTTCTTATTTACTCTTTTGTTGTTTGCATTTGACTTACACTGACTAAAGAGCAAATGGGGACTATTACTTTTACTTATACAGTGAGAGTACTGATGTGATATACTTAGTTTTATCAAATAATCCTTGGGGAAGGGGGACCTTTATCAAAACCCTCAAATGAAAGTGAGATGATATTTTAGTCCTGAAAACCTTAATGTGGTTAAACTAAGGGGCTGTTATATTAGGATTTTATCGTTTATAACGTGTCCGGATTTTGCGAATTGCTTCTCGTTGTTTATGTGTGTATGTATTAGATAACTGACAGCTAACTAACAGATATGAACCTCATTACTGATGACCTAACATAATTAAATAAACTAAAAGGAGCCTTAGCATTAGAAAAGAACTAGTATATAATCTTTTCCACATCACTACTAATCAATCTCTCGTGTAAGTGTTTGATTAATTAAATTTTGTACAAAATATGACCAATAAAAAATTTGCATAAAACACGAGAAGTAATCTGATCATAAGGAGGAGAAAAGTGATATTATGATGTTATGATTAAATCGGTGCAACTAAAATATGGAACTGCAACCTATCTCGACTCCTATGCGGTTTGGATTGGCCCTTCCCATTTGCGTAACTGGCCTGTGACTGTCCAAGAGTGGTCTTTAGTCTCAGGGCCAGATTGGCCCATACCAACCTGTGACCCCTCCAAAACCCAAGACGTCTAGCCCCAAAGATAAACAGGAATATCATTGACATCAAGGTTCCCTTGTTATAAGTTGAAGACCATTAACTGTTACACCAACCAATTTGTTAGTCAAACTGCTCCTATTTTTAATACACATTTTAATTTTGTGGTACAAAATTGATTCACAAATTCAATGATGATATTAAAATTGACAATCTTATAGAACTATGGATGTATTTGAACTTCTGAGTGCTATCAGTTTATTTGATTTTGAAATATAACTTTGAAATTCTCTTCCAATTTTGGGGAGATGCAAACTGAGAGGGAATGGATTTTTTTTTTCCAATTTACTCCACTTTTGCAAGCTTGAACCAGCCCTTCTTGGAGCAGCCCTTTTATTCTATAGGAAAACCAAATTGATTAAACAGACATGAATTAAGAAGATACCAAAGTAAGGAGGGAGTGATGGATCTGATTGAATAAATTTTAAATAAAGATTTTCAACTAACTAGGCATTTTCAGAAGCCAAAGTGTGGGTTGAAGCTCCTTCAGACCATGGGGAAATGTGTCTCATGCTCCTGGCTAGTTTTCATACTTAGCGGAAGGAGGTCGGTGAAAGTGCACTAGATTTAGCTCATCCATCTGACATTATGTGTAGAGTACGATTCTGATGATAACCCACGAGAAGAGACAATTAAGCCTATGGTTGATGGTGGGACTGAAGGATTCAAGGGCCACGCAAGGATTATAATGCCAGGTGTTACCCCCTGCTTTGAGTGTACAATATGGCTCTTTCCTCCACAAGTGAAGTTTCCATTATGTACTCTTGCTGAAACTCCAAGAACTGCTGCTCACTGCATTGAGTATGCACATCTAATCAAATGGGATGAGGTAAGTATTGAACTTCCCAGCCCTTGGTTTTCCATGCTTCTAGACCAACTGCACTGTTTTTCACCCCAGAAGTTTTATGCAGGTTCATAGTGGCAAAACATTTGATCCAGATGATCCTGAACACATGCAATGGGTGTATTCAGAGGTTGATTTATGCTCTTTGCTTTCTCCATTCTTAGTACTTGGACGTATGCTACATTTCTCATGTTTCCTTTCTCAATCCTCGACTTCTCTGATCATGTGCTGTAGGCTGTTAAGAGAGCAGAGCTCTTTGGAATTCCGGGAGTTACCTATTCTTTGACCCAGGTATGCTCATGGTATGGAAGTTTCAGCCTTCTGTAGACAACTAGACATCCTCCTATAGATATGGCCAAACTTAAAGTACTTATTTCATTATGCATTGAGGTGAGAACCTATTCTACTCCAGCCATATTAGGCTGGTATAGTGGTTTTGTGCAGTCATGTGTTCTCACTTCATATTGAATAATCTTTCATTATTGCTTACAGGGTGTTGTTAAAAATATCATTCCTGCTATAGCATCCACCAATGCTATAATTTCTGCTGCCTGTGCTTTGGAGACCTTAAAGCTTGTCTCCGGATGCAGCAAAACTCTATCAAATTACTTGACGTAAGTCTGTTTAAATCCTAATTTACTTAGCTCCGCCACTGTTGCAGGTTGTGTCTTATGAATCAATTGTCTTATCGTCAGCATTTGCACTTTAATTTGATAACATCTTGAAGGTTAATCTTTCCTTATGGCTTCTTCAAAAGAAATGCAGTTATGTACTTGTGATTCATTTGAAATTAAGAACTAAGTTATCCTGAAGCAGTAGAAGTCTAGTTTCCTTTCTTCTCTGTTAATGTCTTGTATCTTGCTTTCTGTTTGATAAATGAGTTCTTTACTTTGTTTATGCCTGTAACATTATGTTAGGATTTTTTACCCTAATTTGTGTTCCATGGTTCTCCCCTTGCAACAGCTCATCTGCGTTCCTCCTCCTCCTCCTCTTCTTCTTCTTCTTCTTCTTCTCTCACTCTCTCTCTCTCTCTCTCTCTCTCTCTCTCTCTCTCTCTCTCTCGCATTATCATTACTCACGAATTGAATTTCCCTTTAAAACATTTGGCCAAGCTCTGTTGACTTATGCGGAATTCTGTACCTGTTGAAGGTACAATGGAGTTGAAGGTCTGCACACCAAAGTGACCGAGTTTGTGAGGGACAAAGAGTGTCTTGTTTGTGGTCCTGGCGTTCTCATTGAGCTGGAAGCTTCAGTTACTTTGAAAAAGGTTCTTGTTCTTTTTATTTCTCAGCTCTTTAAGATTACTAATCATTCACAAGATTGTTCAGTAAAACACTAAGAAACCTCCTCAGTAACTTTTTGATATATCGTTTCTCAAAAGCAGCTAAATAGAGTGCTTCCTAATCTACATTCAGAAAAAATAAACCAGCTGAATTGGGGAAGAACGTCCCAGTATTGAACTTGTCAACTTATCGTGCATGTTTCAACGTGTCCTTGATATGACTGTTCTTTTGAGGCTTGAGAATAGAAGTCAGCTGAAATACTGGAGTTAGTAGTATAAAAAAAGAGAACAGAATTCGGCTGAAATACTGGATTTAGTATGTTGGCCACCTAACTATATTAGGTCACTCCTGATAATGATCATGAGTGGTGTTACTGCTGTCTCTACAGGCAAAGGAGTGTCAAGACCAGATAAGATTCATGAAGCGGAGTAGTAGGAACTAGGAACAAGCAAGAAATCCTAAGGTCCCTAGAACCTGTTGAAAGAAAAGGGAAGAACTTGTCATGAAAGTTTGAAAATGTCTGAAAGCCAATGTATACAGCCTCAAAGACAGAAAATTGGTAATCCTAATTATGAAAATATTTCGTGTCTTAACCACCCAATATAATATTATTAAATCCATCTAAAGAAGGATAATTGTAAAAGGAAAATAAAGCAGAAAATGGAACTTATGAGATAACTTGGCAACTGCAGCAATTACATTAAACAATAATCTAAGTATGGCACCCTCAAAACAAGAATCTCTCGTACAGCAGATAAGTTGAAGTTCCATTTTTTTGAGAATGTTAACAGTTGTATTAAAAACACAGCACAAAGGCTGTGCTGGGAAGTGGTAACCATTTACAGATTCCAGATAGTAATCAAAAAACCTATCTTTGCTCCTTACAAGGATTCTATGATGTCTAAAATGGATTCTTCATCATTTACATAGTTTTCTTTATACCAAAAATGAAAAAGCAGAATACAATTCGTTGGAAGTTCCATTTAGATGCTTCAATGTTCTTTGTGCTGTTCATAGCCAATGTTCATAGTAACTTCCTGGTATGGATTGCTTGTAGTAAAAGTTGGAATGATCACATAGGACCTTATCATACTCTTGGTTGGATAAAAGCTTTAATTAAACCCTCTTTGGAACAATTGGATAAGCATAAGAGAGGAGAGACCTTTTTTTTTGGGGTGGGTGGG